GATCTGCTGGGCAGGTTGGGTCAGCATGTCACCTTAGCAAGGTCCAACATGAACACTGTCTTCAGCAGCATCGGTTTCTTCAGTGCCCAGAGTAAGACACCCTCAAGGAGCCTCTTTGTGCCGGCTGGGAGCAATGCCTGCCAGCACGGCTCCCCATGTGCTCATGGCTTCAGGATGTGCACACCCCTGTGACCTGAGGCAGCTTCTATGAAGGGAAGTTACTGCAAGAATTCCTTAATGAAATTGGAAGGTATCATTTCTCGTTGACTATTTAGTGACCTTTAGGAAAAGCACAGGTCTGGGAAACAAGGCGCAGGTAAGATCACATGCTAGCTTTTCTCTTGTAGATAAAAGCATGAAACCTATAGCAAACAATGAACACTTTGTATCAAGCTGCTGAAGGCGAGTATCATCGATTTAACATACCCTCACTCTGTGACAGACAGCATGAACTACTTAAAGAATTAAGTGACCTTGGAATGAAATAGCTTGTATATCAAGTGGCAGCCCTACATACAATCCTCCTGATAGCGAGGTGTTCAGCAGAGCTTTTTTAAGCACATTACTTTGGTGTGTAGGGCTGGAGCAAAGTGGTGGAGAGGCAGCAACTCCTCTGCCACCTCAGAACTGTGATTACTTCATCTGCTCCCAAATGATGTTTTCTCTTCATCTTGCTCCTACCCTTAGAGGATACTGACACCATTTCCTCTTTTCCCCTTGCCTGCCCCTTCGTAATAACTGCTGTCATAGGGCTAGACACTGCCACTGCTCCACTACTGACCTTCTCCACAGACAAGGAGGGGCTGTGGCAGACAAGTTACCTGCACATCTCCTCCGTTACATCCATGCTTCATTGAAAACCACAGCACAGTGATGAGTAAGTTCCTTTAACAAACCAAGGACAGGAAGTAAAAAGTGACATTTCTTGTGATGTGCGGAAACAGCCTAGCTAAGGAAAGAATCACCCTCTTTCTCTCTCCCTCCCATGAAAGCAACATGTATCCTTGACGTCAAGCCCATCGCATTTCTGATGCATAAAGCATCTTCAAAATGTCCTCAGAATGACCTTTTTCCTGGCTCTCACTATTTAAATTAGCAATCAATAAATGTAAACCAACTTGGGATCTAACTGGGAATTCGGATGAGACACTTAGCAGACTGGGACACAGCTAATGCCACTGTTTCCAGACGTGCTGCAGGAATACTGGGGATTCACTAGTGTGCTGTGATTTGATCTCACGTACCCAAGGCCTCCTGCTCAAGTATAAAGAAAGGGCTTTTGAAGCTTCCATTTCTTTTCTTTCTCTTTTCCACCAAGAACTACTTTTCTAGAGCAGGAAGATGCATCATTTATTTCTTAAGAAATATAATGGGAATCCAAACATGGAAAGGCAACCCGGAATTGCATGAAGGCACCCTGGAGTGCCATACAACTGTAAAAATTAAGAATGGAAAAGTCATCTAAATCCATTCTGCTGCCAATGCTGAACAGCTCCCTACAGGATATTTACAAGTTTTTAACACCTTGGCCTTGTGCCTCACGTGCACTAGAGACATATTTCCAGGCCAATAAAACATCCCTTGTCGTGGCTTAAAGCTGTAAGAATTAATTTATCACTAATTATTTCCTATTTAAAGACCTGCTCTTTGGATAGCTGGGACATAATTCTTGAAAATCACACTAGTTGAAGTAGATGTGCACCATCCCCTCCAGCTAGCTGCCTATAAAGGCCAGCCCTTCAGACATTTTACTTCTCTCTAGTTTCAACTCTCACAGCCGATGGGCTGCCCTTGGGATCTACCTGTCAGCCTAGGGGAGAGAGAATATCAATCGCTGGGGTGCGGGGAACAACTTGGTTCCTTTCCCTGCCCTCCTTCAGGCCAAGAGTGTGGGACACACATGGAAGGGCTTTTCCTGTGTTTGTGCTGCCAGGGTGAGAGAAAGATATACCTCTTCAGGCTTGTCATGGAGGTAAGCCTGAACTCTGACAACGTGAGGCCTGACAAAGGAAAGATGAAGGTTTGACTTAACAGAAACCTAAGGAAATACGATTTCACTTTAAATAAATCTCTCTTTCTCTCTCCATCACGTCCACACAGTCCCAGCCTAAGTGATTTCATCTTTCATAGTTGAAGGTCAGCCATCTCAAGCCTCTATTTTTTCCATACTGAGTCACAGTTACTACCCTCCTGTCAGATCTGCGCAGTCAACATTCTAAATAAACCACAAAAGCAAGGAAATTTGAAGTTATTGGACACTTTTATTTTAATGTAGCACCCAGTTCCATATCACATACATTTTCCAAAATTAGATGGGCATAGTATAGAGTGCTATACATTTCGTAGCTTACCACATGGACATTCTGCAGCTGTGAAAACAAATTGCTTAAATCTGGCTATCTACTTCATAAGTTTAAATTCAAATATATAATAGCTTCAGGGTATTTTTTTAGATTAATAACGATAACGCTTGCAATACCATTTTTGCATTAAAAAATCAGTAACAGAGTAAAACATAATGCATATGTTCATAGCACATTATCAAGAAGATAACTGGAAAAAGCCTTAAAGTACATAATTTCTTCTCAAAGGTACTACATCATTTGGAGATCTTTTTCCTAAAAAAATAGTTTTACTCTTCAGTCAATAAAATATGTGACTTAACTAGGGCCTCTTTCCCATCTGACTTTCATAACTCCATGTATTTTCTTGTCAAGGACAAAGAACTGACGGTGCTGGAAAAAAGAGACCCCCTCAACCCCTGGCTTGAATCTTCCAGGCTGTCTTTCTCTTATCCTGGAGCCCCAGAGGGAGGAAGGTAGCTTACATACCAGTGAAAGGCAATTTCCTTATCATGTCCACCCTGAATGCTCCTGTGAAGTCTTCCAACCCCAGCCATTCCAGTGGAGTTATTTTCAGCCTGAGTCATCATCGCCCTGCACTGGTCAGCCCTGACAGCACTGAGCTCTTCACACATTGATGAAAGCCGGGCAAGTTCCTCTCTCCAGCATGGCTACAGAGTTCCTAGCAGTAACAGTACTGCTGTACACACAGGAAAAGTTCAGAGACAATCTTGTGAGTTGAGAAGGATATTTGCCAACTTACCAACAACAGGACTTGATCTACTAATTCTTTAACATTTTTGCTACATCAGCAAAACTCCATGGAAGAGAGAATGGAGAACACTTGGGAAAGAGGTGATACAGTTTCCTCTGCATTCTATCTAGTATTAATTTAATAAATAGGAGAAGGGCATTGATCAGCAAGGACTGATTTTTTTTTTTCTCAGACAGTTTGTTCAAACGAATGCTTTTGAAATGGAAACTGTTTACCTTGCATAATTATCAAGTCACTGTTTATATTTAAAGGCTCAAATAAAGATGGCTTGATCTATGAAGGTAACCATTCACTGTACTTAGCTCGGCATTCTTTCTCTTTCAAAACTGAATTACCACATACTGAAACAAACACAGAAAATTATCAGGTGTAACAAACACAAACAGATCCACAAAGAAGTGCACGATCATTTTAGATACAACATTTAGGTGTTGTACTGAGGAACATGGCTTAGTGGGAAATACTGGTGGATTGTTGGACCGGATGATCTTAGAGGTCTTCCAACCTATGATTCTATGATATGTCAGTGAACACTTACACATGCAATCTCACTCTGAGGAAGATCTTTATCTGGGATGTGCAATAGCCTCGTTAGGACCTTGCCCTGCCCAGTCTTGTCTTGTGGACAAAACTATTTAATTGTCCAAACTGGAATAGCTAATAAGAAAGCAAAGACATAAAAAGGGGCACCTTGCATGGTCAGTGCATTCTCCCAGATGTTAGGAAGCTATGTTCTAGCTTCTCTTCTTGGTTATCCTACCTTGCTGGAGATACTCTACTTTGTACTAATGCTTACAGAAAAAGTGGATTAAGGAAAGCAAGATTTGGTGTGTGGGAAGCTGCTCTTGCTCCATAGTTAAGCACAAGCAGGTCCCAACTTCTATTCTAGTCCAGGAACACCAGGGGCTTAAAGCTGATCACTTTCCTGTGATCTGTAAATTTGCAGTACTGGATTTAGATGTGAATTTTGACCAGTCAGGGTCTGTTAATAGTAGCCATGGGCATAGCTGCATGAAACAACTGTCAGAAACACAGCTTTATTATGCCTTCTCCTGTCTCTCTCAAAATGTTAACAGCCTCCCAAAAGTAGGGAAGCTTTATTATTTTGTATGGGATATCACAAATATTTAAGGACTAAGAAACACAGAAGAATGTTTTCAGGCAACATATGCATAACATACCAATATTTCTCCTTGAATATCCGGTTTTGGTCTCCATGTCAACTACTGTATCATCATCACAGCAAATACCACACCATACAGAATATGAACGAACTCATATTATAGGCCTTAAAGCTAAGCATGGCATTTGATTGCACCTCTCAAAATCTAACCTCAGTGACAGTGACGTTATAAATTTACTAAGTCCTACGGTAGACTAACAACTAAGTATCTACTTTGTTGGTAATCAGGTACTTCAGGTGGAAAAAGACAGAAAACAGACTTTTGTACTTTTAGATATTAGGAGGAAGCTTTTCACACAGAGGGTGGTGAGGCACTGGAACAGGTTGCCCAAGGAGGCTGTGGATGCCCCATCCCTGGAGGCATTCAAGGCCAGGCTGGATGTGGCTCTGGGCAGCCTGGTCTGGTGGTTGGCAACTCTGCACATAGCAGGGGGGATTGAAACTAGATGATCATTGTGGTCCTTTTCAACCCAGGCCATTCTATGATTCTATGATTCTTTGGAACACTACCTATTCAATGAATAACTCAAGTGAAGTAAATGGAGGATGACAGCAGAGGAAGTCCCTATTAAACATGAAATAGTCACTCACCATCTTAAAAATGCAACATGCATATTTTCTCTTCAGAATCATTGAAAAGCTTTTCTCAAAAATCACACATAAAAAAAAAAAAACAACAACAAAAGGTGCCATACGGTTATTTCCAATTTAATAGCAGGGGTTTATTAACCAAACGCAACACGAGAACTAAAATGCAAACACAGAAGAGCACTTAACCTAAATAAAATTTCGGGAAAGACTCAATATTACAAATAAACAATGTTAGTTTTCAAACAGCACCACTGATAGCACAAGGACAATAGCTCTTCTGCAGCTTCCCAGGAGTCTGCAGCTCTCACAGTTTGTCACTGATCAGAAATGACCATCTGACTCCATCTAAGCAACAGTCCCACTAAAAAAGTTCCAAATCCAGAGAAAAGGCTGTTGCTCATTCACACAGTGACGTTTAGTTGAATCAAAAGCAATGTGTTATAGAAACAGATTTTTGTTAACAATTCTGCAATAAGTGTTTAGACTAAAGTCACCTTTAGACTTCTGGATCCATATCCCACATCTGCAACCATTGCAGCAAAAATAATGTGCTTCCTCATCACTTTACACTTTCCTGTTGACGTCATTCTTATTTATCTCTAAACAAAACTCTTGGCTGTTCTGATGCCCCCTGATATCTCACTGCAGCCATGCTATGACACACCCCAAAGGGAGGCCACCTACTTATTTCAAATTTGCTCCTCCTTCCTCCCTACCCCAAAGCCATCATATAGCTAATGGGAGAATGTACAAGACCAAAAATGGTCCAAAAAAAACCCCCGATCTGGTGCACAGTTTTTGCAAAGTGTATTCTTATATCAAGTCAATGAACAACTGGATATGAAACATAAGCAGCATTGTGTTTAAGATGACTAACAAGTAGGTGACATACCCTAGCAGCACAGCACACATCATATCCATGAAAGGAGCGAGGTTGATAATATCTCTGAAATCACTCAGTATAAGAATATTGGCCCCTTAAGAGATAAAGCAACATTAATTAGAAGCTTCCATCACGAGAACTGAGATTAAAGCCAATGACCACTGCATCCATGAAAATTCTCCATGGAGTTCAATTGGCCTTGGAGCAGACCAGGTAAAAACAACAACAACAACAATAATAATAATCTTTGTTTCTTCATTTGAAAACCAGATGGGCATTAGCAGCTTCATCCTATCAGTGGTATCTTCAATGAGGTGCAACAGAACCTGAATGAAAGCCTGCTGTAAAAAGCAATTGGTTCCATCATTCACTTTGCAATCTCATGTGCAGCAGTTTTGATCTCTCTCTTCTTTTGGAAATACAGTTCCTACACATGTCCTTAAAACAAACTAGCAGCTGTTAAAACAACAAAGCAGACCAATACAAATATACTTAGGATAGCTTTTACAAAAATGCCCAGAATGCATTTTTAACCTCTTGTTAGAAATACACTGTTGGTTTGAAGAAATTTTTTTATGCAGAGACACCGTCAGTTGCAAGCAAGTGATCAAATATGGGTGATAGGAAAGAGTTATAGCTCAAAAAACAGATTTTTTTTTTTGTAATTTCCAAAATAATAAAAATTTAATATTTTTACTGTTCTCTCCTATGAATTGTAACTTATAAAATACAAGTTCTCTAACATTAAAATACATCTGTGATTGAATAATAAACAGCACTAAGAAAATAATTATCTGACACATGATTGTGGATAGAGACTCTTTTCGTCTAACGAGTTGGATTCCTGCTGTGCTTTCAATCCACACGTCCTCTACCATCCTACAGGAGCTGGTAACATCCAGGAACCCATCTCAGAGGATGGGTTTTACATTTAAACACCAATTCTGGAATTATGTACCTCTTAACATTCAGGATAGGAGGCGTTGCAAGAATATGTATAAATCAGGGGCTCTTGGCATAAATAAAATACTCTCATTCATTTCAGTGGCAAACTGCATTTACACGTTAGGTTAGGAAGAGGGAGAGAAGAGGGCAAAGCACCTGCCCAGAGCCATCTGACAGTTTGGTATTTGCTTTCTGTACCTTCCCCATCTACAGAGGCAAGCAGGTGCAGCAGGGTGTGGAGGGCAAGCTGGGGACCCACCATGTCACCTTGGTGGCTGCAAGGCCATTGGTGCACACACTCTGCTGCTGTGCAGTGTGCTGGAGGTCACAAGACAGTTACAGGGCGTAGCTGCTCCAGCTGCGTTTCCAAGGCAATTCGTTCCTTATGGACCTCCTAGAGGATGAAGAGAGACATGTTGTCACTTTTTCAGCACTTGCACATAACCCCACACCCATGAAGAGCAGCCTGGCAAACTGCTGGTGCTAAGAAGAGGCCTGGGGCTCCACTGTTCCAGTAATTCTCCTTGCTGTCCAAAAATACCACACCACTACCACTCAACCACAGATAATATAGGCAATAAATAGGTAACAGCATAGGCCCATTATGTGAATTAAAGCTCACTGAAGGTAGCAAATGGAAGAAAAGAAGGACTATAGATAAACTCAAGCAAGTGAGTTAAGAAGTTATGTTAATATTGAACAAGGAATCAGACTTTCATCTTGACTGGAGAACAAATGTAAACTGAGGGTCCCTTGCCTTTCCCAGGCAAATGTGTTCATAATATACAAGTAAAAAAAAAAGCCATAGCAGATATAAAGCTGAATTTGGTAATATCTTCGGATTGAGGGAACAATAAAAAACAGAACTGATATTTATAAGAAAGTAGCCCCTTAAGAACACGTTAAAAGACAAGCCAACAGGTGCCATGAACAACCAGTACTACATGATTCCATAAAGAGCACTGTTTAGCCAGTCCATGTACACCAAATGCGTTACTCCAGGAGACAGTGATGGAGCACAACTGATCAGATGACAAGATAGTTATACCTGTGGTGGGTGCTACCATCACATTACCTGGACTTCTCAGAAAGACAAGTCCTTTAGACTTATTCCAGCTGCCAACGAAGCCGTATGCAGATAGGTGGTAACTTTTCCTAGAATGTCTAATTTAGGCACACATACAATACAGTTATTCTCCTCCAGAAAGTGAGGAAGTAATGCAGTAGGTTTCATCTGAAAGGATGAAGTAGATTCTCTGCTGACCCTGCCACACAACCAATTGTAGGGAGCTTTGTCACTGATTTTCAATGCATTCCTTACCTTCAGCTGCTGCTGGAGCTCACTGTTTAACCTGGCAAGCACAGCATTGGCTTCTTTGTTTTTTCGTATAGCAGTCTGAATAGCCCTTTTCTGCTTGGAAGTCTGTCTGCCAGACAGATAAATAGAGAACATTTCAATTAACAGCCCCAACAACAGCTCCAACAATGCCAGAAGACCAGCCATCCATTCTGTGCGTCTACACACTATACACACTGGAATATGCTTCAAAGATAAGTACAAACTACATATTTAAATGAAGAAAAATGTAACCCCCAAGTGAGATGGGGGTTGAAATAAAGCGGTCACACTCCTTAATTCAAGTGACAGAAACATTTTAGGCTGTCTCAATTATCTTAAAATTTGATTCAGCTTAAGAAAAGCCCTTGCATAGCTGTACTTCCTGCAGTGTCTGCATTTTAGCCGTTTTCAGACACTTGCACAGTTTAATGATTCAGGAGTGGTTAAAAGAAAACACAAAAACCATTCTATTCAGAAAAAAAAAGGACATCAGCATGAAAATACTGACTCAGATTATTTTGAAGAACTACTGATTCTAGAGCTTCTTCACTTAGAAAATTTATCTTTCTCCCCCCTCCTCCCTCAAAGTAGTTATTTCTACCAAAACCACCTGATGTCACAAGCAGATACAGGTAGGTGACTTACAGACTTGCCTTATCTCTTTGGCTGTGTAAATGAAAGATTCCTCACCTATTATCATTATGACTTTATGACCCATGGTGACTGATTTGGACTGATTTGCTGTCAGGCAGTTAGGTGTAAACAGAGACAGCTCAATATATAAAGATCGACTCACTCTAAGAGATGGAGGTAATGAGAGGAAAAAGGAAAAAAAATGTATAGAAAATAGTAGGTGAATATCCAAATCCCGTTCCAGATAGGTTACTTTAGGGTTTTACATAAGGCAGCAAAAGTTATTTAATGACAAATTTTATGTAAAACAGATATCCTATTTAAATAAGGTCCATAATGGTATGCTGTCCTCATTAGCTCACTCTCTTAACACAGCTGATGGCACTGATCTTTACAACAGGCTCTTTTGCAGCACATTCTGGTCTTTATGCTATTATCTTCCAGTGAACCATCAGCTTTCTGCTTCACTATTTTGCTTCAAACTGCTCTCCACAGGCTATAAAGTAAAACCATCAGGAAACAAACAGTAGCACACACACACACACACACACAAAAAAACCAACCCAGGAAGATATAGCCCCATTATTATTTGAATTTTTAAGGAAAGTGATCGACAAGACAGGGTTAAGTTGAGACATTAACAAATGCTATTCTCTGTTTTTAAACCACTATGGAATTTGCACTCCCAAAGGACAAAGCAGTGCATCCTATGAGTCTTATCATTTCTTCTAATCTCCATCTCTGAAACATAGATGTGGTATGTTGACAAACAGCTTGCAAGAACTGGTCAACTGATTGGGGCAGCTCCATTTAGCTTCACGCAGAATCAGATGTCTTTGTAAGGCTTGGGTGGAGGCAAGCTAGACAATTCCTATTGAGGGAGATGCATAGAAGCAAAAGGGCTTCAAATGCCTTCAGTTACCATTTCTTCTTCCCCTTCTATACTGCTATTAAATACATACATATTTAAATCCCTCAGTTTTGTTACTAACAGCTTCAACCTGTTTTTATGAGAGCAAACAACACATGCTGGGCTTGGCACTATATTATCACAAATGGTCTACAGCTCATTTCTAACCCTCACTGTGAGGAAGAAATGTCACAAGGATACACATCAAGCATTTAACAACTTAGATTCTTGGGCACTGAATTAGTTCTATCTGCCCAAGCAAAGATCAAAATTCCATAAGATTTGTGCAAAGTGAAAACACACACTCACAAAGCTAAAAGGAGTTGAGTTAGAGATGCTGATTGAACAGTAAGGCAAGGCTTGCTCTTCAGATGTGCCTTACCAGGCACAGAAGTAGGACAAATCAGGACTTTTTGCAGAGGATTACCAACTTAGAGTCATTACAGCATTAGTCTGCACTGGAGTGGCCAGATAACAATTTCAGAAACCTGTATCTTGTGAAGAATTCTGAAAGCCAGAAATGTTAAGCACAAAATCACACAAAAAGCAAACCCTGCCACGTCAGATCTGATGGCGCAGTTAGGCATGCATGGTACAGCTTGTTTACTTTTGGACTGGAAGGTGAGGCTTTGCTGCTGGCTGGGAAGAGGTCACATTTACGGTAGGAGAAAGCTCAGGGGTCTCCAGCCCCTGCACCTCTGTCCGGAGCTTCCTGCGGGCCGGTTTGGAGGGCGGTTGAGCAAGAACAACCTCCTGCAAGGAAGAAGCACAGCAAAATTAAGTCAGGTTGTATGCATCCCGTCACCAGGTCGGGACAGAAATTGCTGACATCTGGCCTAAGCTTTTGTAATTTAAAGTGGAACAGGGCTTAATCTAAATTCAGTAATAGTCTCTTGGGTTTTTGACTTAGTTCAAAGGAACAATAACTCCTATGACCCTTTAACGAGTGAAATGATAACACTGGTGTTTCATCTTCATCTGGATGACAGGCTCTTCAGAACTGGATTGTATTTGGGAAAGGGATAGAAGGGGTGCGAACGTATACACTAGCCCTAAGTTGGCCCCAAATCATCACAACCACAGTAAGATTTATTTCTAATTGCGCTCAGTCAATAGAAACCAATCATCAATCATTTCCATCCTGTTTCCTACCTCAGTCCTTAACCCCCTGGCACACATTCTCTCCCTGCTTCTCCCCTACTCTCTTACATGAAATAACATCGAAAAAAGCTTAGGAAGACACATGCACGCAAAATCAACATGTTGGAAGTGTAGAAGTACAGTTACATCTCTTGATAAATTAAATCGTAGAGAAAATCCACTCTGCAGGAAAAACAAAAAGCTTTAGATTTTTATGCCTTTAAGCGGTAAGAACTGTTTTCACACCTTTAAGTTAAATCATCCTTTTTTTTTCCCTTTCTTTTTTGCAATGGGAAGTGGGTTTAATGCTTTATAGCTGCTTTTATGCTGAAATATAAATATGTGTCTTTCAGAGCATTTAATTACTAGATCGCTTCTACAAGCAATATAACTTTTACTGCTCTATTTCAAAAATGAAAAAGCAAGACTCAAAAAAAAATGAAGTGATTTGACAAAAGTTACTCATTTGGTGTCACAATCAACAGCAGAGATCAAGTTTTACTATCACTTGCACAGTCTGTGCTACTGGGCCAGGCTATCTTCCTTACTATGGTTTGGTCATTTGTTAATAATATAGGAATAAAACTAAACAAAGAAACATGCAGTGACAATGCAATCCTAAGAAAAAGAACTATAGTAAACAGCCTGACTCAGCAGAAGAGACGACTATGACTGGCAAAACATCAAAAAGAAACCCTAACATAAAGCCATTAGTAATTAAAATTATTAGAAGAATTAGAATTATAAGGAGAGAAGGGGTCTAGATATTTAAAAAGAAACAGTTCTGCCATTACTTTAAAAACAATTCAGAATATGATGAGACCTTTTAATCCAGACATTGGCATATCAGCACTGCACAGATCTCAGATAACGCTGTGCTCTGAAATCCTATGCTTGCACATAGCTTATGATGTACGGCAGGAAAGGAACTTGTGCATGCCTTCAACAGCTATGAACTGCTGGGATTCCAAGCACGCAACTGCAGTCTACCTTAAAACTCCAACATACTATGAAATCCACAGGATTAATCTATGTTCCATTTCAAGCACAGTACTGGAAGAAATACCCAATACCTAAAGGCAAAAGGGCTCTTTGGCTGTTGTTGCACCAGCCCTACAAGGTGAGTCAGCAGTGTGCCAACAACGTGCTTTCTGCACCCCACAGCCAGGTGCTGCTTTGTATTTTTCGGAGCCCAGTGGGAAGAGGATGAGCATGAAGAACCACCAGAATTTCATTGTCCCAGCAGGGCTGCAAAGTAGCAAGAAACAAACGGGGCTAGGATAGAAATTGGATGTGTTGAACACAGGTAGAGCTAGGACACTGCCTGGAAAGCTTCATCATGTACAGGAATGGACGCTAGAGCATTTTTCTGCACCTCCCATTAGGGAGGAAGTGTGATGATGCTCCCTGGCAATAGACATATCCCAGTCAAGAACTGCTGTCAGGTGATGAGCAAAGGTTTTGTAGATGCTGTTTGGATGCTGAAGGGGATGGAGAAGGGAGGATCTGCCTTTGCCCCCTATCAAAAATCTGTTTTGTCTGACGCTGATGGAAGGAGGCATGGGGAACATGACCAGGAGCAGGGAAATGCTCATGGACACTGACGGGGCCATTCCATTTATAAGCCAGAATCTGTGAAGAATGCCACTACAACTTCAGCGATTACTTCACACAAATCATGTTCATACAAAAGCATATTAGAAATCGCACACTGTAAGCAAATATTTTGTGCAAATCTTCCCCACTGTATGTACACTTAGTAGCAAATTCTGACTTGCAGCAAAAAAGTACATTTACATCAAAACTGAATCTTTAATAACTGGAAGCAAGAGGTGCATCACGATTTGGAAGAATTACAGTGAGACAGGGGTCAAGTACAATCAAATCCTTTTTTGTCTTCCCTAAGGCTTCACAAGCCCCCTATTGATTTGAAACAAATGGCAAGCTGCCTTTCTTCAAGCACGTGCATTGATGTGTATGTATAAGAGCCTTCTTAATGATTTATTGGAGCTGATGTCACACACTATCCCAGTTCTCTCTAGCGCCTTGACCTCTGGAGAAGGTAAACATGTGAAAACGTAACCCTAACCCTCAGTTTAATTGCTTTAAATCTTAAAACAACTACGTTTGTTGATGAAGGCAAATCACTCAACAATGGTACAACATGCAGGTCTCACCTTTTTTGCTGAGCTGTTTTCTTCTGTCTGGGATGGGGGTCTATTCATCTGAGGATGTAATTCAACCTCAGATACTTGCTCTGTCTGTAACAACAAATCAGTTATTTACTACACCCACAAAACAACTAGCAGTCACATACAATAATGTCAGTGTAAGGAAACATCATACACAAAAGAAAAGTTACTTTAACAATTCAATGGGAGGGGAAATAGAGTCCTAGGGTGACAGCTGAATGGATGGCATATGTATTTTGTTGACTTCTAATGAAACCATTTTCTTGTGTTTCACTGTGCTAGGAAAAATTGTTTTGGGCTTTTCTTTTTTCTGAGAAAAGTTAGGAACTATATCTATCTTTAAATATAAATGACCTCATTCCCAGAATTCCTTCCAGGACTCTTCCTAAGACCTAGGTACTCAAATTAAAAACCAAGATGAGGATGGATAAATGCTAGAAGGATCGTGGCTGCACCCCATCACCTTATCATCTCCTGAAACTGATGAAAGTTCACTGGCGTAAGCCTGTGTCTTTAAATGGTAAGGCTGGAGTGAGAAAGTATGAATTATACCAAAAATTCCAGTAAAGCTATTGAAAACACCAGCCATAAAAGAAAAAGGCAAATAATCTTCTTCCTTCCTCCTTTCTCATGTTTCAAACAGAAACCAAGCTGAACCCTCAAAGCACAGGTCTACACTTCAGCAAACCACAACTCCCTCCCAGCAGCGCATCTGACACAGGCGAACATCAGAAGGAGGGTTAACCCTTGGTGGTGCCTGCCCTGCGATCTTCCAGCACTGTTTGATTTGCTCCAGCAGGACGTGGCACAGCACATCTGCTACGCGAGGGCACCGGGATTTGGAGCTGCCTGTCCCTGGGCATGCTACAGCAAACATGGTATAAACAGGGCACGCCTGTTTTCTGTCTAGAAAGCCTCAGCTGGCTTTTGAAGACGGGAAGGCAGGCAGCAGTGGGGAGGCTGAGGGCGCTTGGCACTCGCAGGCTGCCTCTTCTCTTCTTTCCCAGCTCCTGTCAAGTCGGAGCCAAGCTGACAGCAGCCCCCAGGCAGGACAGGCAGCCTGCCATCGTGCTCTCTCCTCCAGAAAGACTCATTTCCACCCAGGTGAAAGCTTGTGTTTAGAAAAAAGGAGTTCAAGGCGAACCTCAAACTTTAAAGGGGCTGGAATTTTAGCCAAAAAAATAATAACCTGTCACACGCTGAGGAACCTAATTTGCTGTTGTCAGATTTCTGCTTAGACCCATCAAGTTCTGGAGTGGTCAGAAGTTTCACAGCGTTAAACCATAGGTTAAGAAAATGACAGAATGTGCAGAATTTGGTGTATTTAAAAATGAAGGACTTTTCTCTTTTCATTCCACTTCCCTTTCTGTTGTAACAAAAACAATAAGAGCTCAGCGGAAAGCTGCAGGGGAAAAGCAGCTCTGTCAGGTTACTGCCGCTCTTCAACCGTACATGTTGAACATGTACACAGAGGAGAGAGATTTGTGATCTTTTTTTAAAATGCATGTGAAATTCCTCTGGAGAGGAGGGAGATTTGTCTTGGCTGACAAGATTGCTCCCCCCCTCCTCTAGGTGTGCCACATCTGTAGTGTTATCTATGACAAAATAAAAATAAACTTACTGTAACTTTCCACTACGATTTGAATATTAGTACCGTAAGCATCTGGATTCCAAAGAGCTACTGGTTAGCAACATTTCAATTCTGGAAACCTTTCTCATGGATTCAAGAGCTCCTTTTATATCTGTTGATTTCTGGTGCAAATAGGAGTGAAATTGAAAAAGCAATCTTTTTTTCTGTCTACAAAAATCAAAGACCTTTAAAATTGCATTTAATGCAACATAACATCTCTTTATCAGCAATCTGAATAGCCCATAACCTCCCTGACTTCTACAACCACTTTTTATACATTTGAAAGAAATCAAAGCTCAAAGCACTGCTAGCTGCAGTCTGGCAGATCTACGGGGCTTTCACAAATGATTTGGTGATAGCAAAGCTCAAATCCCCAGCAGAGCCACGCAATAAAGTTGGCATCAAATCACATCACTTTGACAAATCGCTCATTTAGGGACATCATCAAGAGTAAATCTAGTATTTCAGAGAGTCACATAGTATGCATGCTCTCTAAAGTCCTCATGGTATAGCTTTGCTGCATAACACAGTGCAATGGTGAATGTGTGAGAGGCAGCTCTGAAACACCTTTCTTTGATAGGGACACCAGAACCCCCAGCAATCTGGCCAGGCAGGCTGCTTCTGGTGCTCATGCTCTTGTTGGAATCTCCATCAAACTTGGCATCACAAGCAAGCATTCAGCAATTTCCTCTACAGAATGGAAGATGAAAGAAACCAACTCTCTTGTTTATGTGTAGATAAAATGTGGTGTGTTCAAGCAATGCAGAAATAACCAAGTAGACTTGAACTCTACAATGTCAATTACAAATAAGAAGGAAAACTGAGATTAGAATAAGACAGTGGGCCTGGAGGAAAAAAAAAAAAACACACAGAAAAAAACCCAAACCCTAATAATTGCAGAAAAACTGATTTTTAGAAACAGCCTTCCTTCAGGAGAACATTATTTTAAAGTGAAGAAAATTGAAAAGGAGAAAGAAAAAAAAAAAGCAAAAAGCAAAAAAAAAAAAAAAGCTAACTTTGTGTCCCGGTGGAAGGAAATACAAATAGTAGTGCTAACACCAAAACCATGAGATTTTCAAATTTCCAACAGTTTGATCAAACATTTCCTAATAACACATCACATGTATCCATATGCATATATTTGAGCAGCCGAGTGCTGTCCTGTGGCTGTCAGCCCCACAGTTGCGGCAGCTGTGTGGCTGTGGCGCCTGCAGGCTGAGGCCAGGCCACAAGGCCAGCGAGAGGGGCTGCACACACAGATCAGCCTGCATAGCTCAGCAGGCACTGTGGCAGGGACTCATTGAAGCAGGTGGATAGTAAAAAACAAAACAAAACAAACAAACAAAAAAAACACACACAAAAAAAAGAACCATAATAAAACCCCCACATTTGATCAGGAAAAAAAAAAAAACAAAAACAGAGCTAGTTCTGGCGATGCAACCCATCCATGCATAATGAACGAAACCGAGGGACTGCCGTGTCCCTAAAGTGCCATCTAGTGGCACGCGGGACAGGCCATTTCTCAGCGTTTGGCTCAGAGGAGAGCACAATTAATAGCTGTCTGCATTATCCAGAGCCTGCAGACTGCTCCTGCCCCACAAAGCGGGCAGGCAGCAGGTGCTGACACCATAAGCCTCAGTTCTTCAGAGTCCGCCATTTGCTGGTCATGCAGAAGCTGGGTCCATGCATTAATAACTTGCCAGCAGAGCTCTGAGTTCCCACCTATGAACAAGTTTTTGCTTCTCAAAGCCATGGGCTTCCGACACAAGTGCCCAAGCATAAAGAACCCGCATGCTACTGCAGTGGATTGCGTCCAGGGCCTGACACCACTTAACCCTGGCAAAAGCCTTTTGTGCAACTGCAACTTGCATCAATGCAAAGAAGGTTTGCTGATTCAACTAACCCTACCAAGTCCCCCAGGCAAGGCTTGACAGGCTTTACAAATACATTTACAAGATGCACAACAATAAACTGCCTCCCTCCATCATAGCAATAAGAAACTTTTCCTATATCTTGGAAATCTTTTAGTTATATCATACTTTACTTTGTAAAACTCAACAATATAAAGTCTTGACTATCTGGAGAGATTATACTGCTTATGCAATATGGTCTTCCAAAAGAAAATTCAGTTACAACAGTGTGAAATTGCTCAGATGGAAGTGTCTCATTCATGCCCACAGAATCGAGCAAGCTTCTGAAACAGCAAGTACTGGTATGGCTGGTTCCACATGCAAGGTCACAGTAGCTGGGTAAAGAAAATCCTGCTTGCTTGTTCTACTAGCAGTACAAAAGACATTTTGCAGATCAGGACTGAAAATATCTTGATTTTGGAAAGAAGTTCTAAGTGACCACAGAAAAGAGCATCAATTTCTTCTTTCAGTGAAGGGCTGATGGTTGGACTAGATTATGGGTGTCCAAGATTTTGGCTTGCCTGCACCACACTGAATGAAGAATCATCTTGGGCTGCATATATGTATGTAGGTCACTCCAAAAGTAATGCCTCCCATTTGTTTCCATGGAAATTACAACAGATACAAAGAGCATAATAACACTAATTGATAGAGCAAATTCTCAGCTACAGAACACTGTTCTTCAGCAGTCATCACCATGAGCATTGTCACCACCGATGAACAATCAGTGCTCGTAACAATCTGCACCAGCGAATATGGCCCACTGTCAGCACCACCACTGCTGAAATGTGCCGCCTACAACCTCACTGTGCCCACATCCACTGGTTGATCTCCAGAAATGTTCAGCAAGCATCAGTGAATTTCAGCAGGTGCCATCTTTTTCTGTATGGAGGACTTCAATTCCATTCCTTTGCTTTATTCACATTTCTATGTCAGATACCATCGTGTCAGACTGCCCCCCTGCTGCCATCTGTCACATGGCAACAACATGTACTGAAATACTGGTGAGAACATCCAACCTCTACTGCCATACACCAACATCCACCTCTCATGTCATGGGCCAACAGAATACAGTAGGAGGCATGTATAACCAAGATGTTATAATTGCAATATAATCAAAAGAGTAAGGCAAAAGCAAACAAGGATCGCAAAAGAGAATAAGTAGAAGAGCTTACCCTTGGGTTGAGCTCACTAGAAGATACCAAAAGAGGAGGATCTCCAGAAGAGATCCTTCCCCTCTGGTAGCCAGCTCTTAAATAGGTCCAGGAGGGGTGGAGCCTGGCTCCACCCCTTCCGGCAGCACAGGTGAATTGCCTTCACCTGTGCTCCTCTGGCTGACTCATGGCTCACCTCAGGTGATTAATCAGAGGTTCAGGCCGTGACTCAGCAGTTCCCATACAGAGGCATTACTCTTGGAGCCGCCCTCATAAAATATATACTATTGTTAATGTGTATAAGCGTCAAAACATTTTAATTTCTAATATTTTTTACTACAACATAAAAAAAGGAGAGCAACAAATTCATAAAAC